CCTTCATCTGTGGATGGGCATGTAGGCTGGTTCCTTAACTTGGCTGTTATGAATTGTGCTGCTCTAAACATTGGTGTGCACCCATCACTATAGTGTGCTGATTTTAGCTCTTCCATTTTAACAATATTAATTCTGCCAATGTATGAACATGGGAGGTCTTTCGTTCTTCTAGTGTCTTCTTCAATTCCTTTTTCTGTATTCTACAATTTGTTTAGTGGTTTTTTTTTTTTAGTTTTTTTTTTTTTAACCTCCAGTAGATTTACTCCTAGGTATTTGATTTTTGAAGCTATTATGAATAGAATGGTGTTCCTGATTTTTTTATCCCAATTTTGTCTTTCATTTTATTGATTTGGGTCTTCTTTTTTGGTTAGTTTAACTATGGGTTTATCAGTCTTGCTCATCTTTTCAAAGAACCAACTCTGTTTCATTACTCCTTTGTATTCTTTTATTCTCTCTTTTACTAATGTTGTTCTCATTTTTATTATTTCTTTACTTATAGTTTTAGAGTTGCTTTGTTTTTCTAAGAACTTAAGGTGTATTCACTAGGTTATTTGAGATCTTTCTGATTTTTTTAATGTAGGCACTTGTAGCTCTTGAAGAGGGAAATTTATAGCTATTTTTATAGCTAAATTTTCCTCTTAGAAATTTATAGCTGTGTATTTATTACCTTTGTATTTATTGCCTTTACTGTATCCCACAGATTCAGGGATGTTGTGTTTCTGTTTTGTTCGATTCTAAGAATTAAAAATTTTTCCCTGGTTACTTAAGTGACCCATTCAGCATTCAAAAATGTATTGTTTGATCTCCATGTTTGTGTATATTCTCTGTAGTTGTTCCTGCTGTAGATTTCTCATTTCACTTAATTATGATAAGATGCAAGAAATTATTTCAATTTTTAAAATATTTGCTAATTCTTACTTTATGGCCCAATATATGATCTGTTTTGGAGAAAGTTCTAAAAACAGCTGAAAAGAAAGTATATTCATCCCTTTTTATTTTTTTTTATTTTGAGGCTGGGTCTCAGGCGGCCTTGAACTTGCAATCCTTTGGACTCATCTTTCCTGAATAACAGAGTACAGGTGTGCACCACCATGCCCAGTTTTAAAGTCACACTGTTATGGGCCTATCTGCCCCTTATAGTGTTTGTCTTATAATTGTTATATCTTCTTGTTGGATGGTCCCCTTTATTAGTACATAATGGTAAATATGACTTCTTTGTCTCTTCTAAGTTTGTCTTGATGTCTGCTTTGTCAGATAAGAAAATAGCTACTCATGCTGGGTTTCAGATTGCATTTGTTTTCCATCCTTTTAGTCTTGAATGTCTTTGCTGGTGAGATGTCTGTCTTGCAGACAACATATCGTTGGGTCTTTTTTTTTTTGTATTTTGAAATAACCAGTATGGTACTGGTTGTGCTATACATATTTATTCCATGTCAAGATCATCAGGCTGTTTCAAAAGCTTGCATGGAGCTCAGGCTCTGGAGCTACCCATGTAGTCCTCACCCTGCTGACTCCTGCTCATGCCTGGTAATGGGCCTGGGTGCTGGTGTGTTTTCTGGTGGCTCAGCACTCAGATTCGTCTTTGGCATGGAGGTGGCTTTGTGTGCTTGCTGGGGAATTGCCACATGCCCAGAGCTGTTAACCCCTTCCTTTTCTTGGCACAGCCAGGGTGGCCCTGGGACTCCACATGGCCTCCAGGTTACAGAGAGCTCCTGCTGGTGCAGAGGAGATGGGACCATGGTGTCATTGTCTGAGTGGGGAGGCCCTCCTTGGCATGGGTGATGGTTGTGTGTGCATCCCAAGAAGAGCTTGGCATGCAGGAAGAAATGCCACTCACCCAAGCAGTGCAGTGCACCCCACCCACTCCACTCCTGCTGCTGGGAGACGGTGGATCTAGATGGCTTTCAGATCTCAGCGATCTCACCGTGTATGTATGATCTGTACAGCTGCTACAAAGGCACTCCCCCATGACAGTATCTTCTGCCATATCCAGGAAGATGTGAAGATTCAGAGATTCCTCTTTCTCAAAGCTGCAAGCTTAAGCATGACCTTCACAAGGCAGCCTCCCGCCACAATTCTCCATTTACAAGTTGAAAAGCAGCGCGAGTGCTTCCCACACAGCCCACTGTCTCTCCCGCAGCTTCTCCAACCACTTTTCCAGCCAGCTTTCCTCACTTGGTGTCCCTCCCCTGCCCTGCCTTGTGCTGTGGAGCAGGTGCAGGTTCCCTCGAATGAGCCCCTTCTTGTTCCCTGCTCTAGTAGCCAGAATCTCGGAGTCACTCTGCATCAGGTGTTGGGTCAGGGTGGGCCTCTGTCACCCACATGGGCAGCTCTTCTGCAGCTGTCTGGGCTCTGAGCTGAAGGCAGGACACACAGCCTGACTCTACCCTCCGTTCTGCCTCTTCCCATTTCTTTACTTGGTATTTTGATCTTTGGTGTCTGGAATTGTTTTAACTGCCTGTTGGAGTCTTTTGCTCCATGCTTTCTGTTTTACTGTTTCTGTTGGCTTCTTTTCCATTTTCAGTGCATACTGCTTGTTATTTGTCTTTCGCATTTGACTGTTTTCTCTTTGGTGTTTGCATTTGGGTTATTATTTTTCTTTCTTTATTTGTGTGTGCTACTAGGGATCTGGGGATTGAACCCAGGGGCACTTTATTACTGAACTACATTCCCAGTCCTTTTGAATTTTATTTTGAGACAGGGTCTCACTAAGTTGTGCAGGCTGGCCTGAAACTGGGATCCTCCTGCCTCTGCTTCCTGAGTCCTTAGGGTTACAGGTATCCACCACCACACCCAGTTGTATCCCAATCTTGCATACTTCTTTATTTTCCGGAATTATAAATGTAGTCATGTCTTCCCTACTGCTTTTACTGCCCACCCCCACCTTTACATCTTTTGATCCAGGTGGAATTTAGTTCATCTTGGGTGTGAGGTAGACAATCTAGCTTTACATTTTTTTTTTTCCTTTACAAATCTCCAGCAAGTCATCTGATACCATGTAGAGCATCAACGTCTTTGTTCTTTGTGCATCAAGCTCTGTCTCTGACCTTTTTTGGCTAAAAGCTCTTGCCTTTGTTAAAACTTCATGATGCAACCTAATATCTGCCAAATTAATCTCACATTACTCTTTTCTCAGAAATTTCTTGCCTATTTTGTAGTCTCTCCATGTGAACTTGTGTAGTTAAATAAAGACAAACCAGAAAACAACAGAAGATACTATCTTCTGATAGGTTAGTCCAGAGAAACCGATACCTACGTTTCACAGTGTGGAAAACCCCTCATGACACGGCAGCTCTAGTGTTCACATCCGTGGTGAGCCCCTCATGTCCCGAGATTCCATCAGTGCAGCTTCTCTCTTTGCAGGTGACCACTCAGGCCTACAACTCCCAAGTCCTCTTTCCTGAACATTCCATATTCAGTCTTCTGTCTTAAAAATACGTCCCAAATCTCTTACTCCAAGCCACCACCTGGCCACCCATCTTCACTCTCCCTGGAATGTCGCTGGTTCCGACAGGTTTCCACTTCCTCCAGTTTGAGACTAAAAGGCTTAGGGGTCACTCCAGGTAAACTGGGCTGACTGGGCTGTGCAAAGTAACCACACAAGAGACACAAATACCTTTTTCTTTGGGGTTGCGGTGACAGCTCCTCTGACCTTAAGGGTCTGCAGGAAGAGAGAGAGCGAGAGCACGCACTGACCCCTTTTATTGAGGAGAAGCTATTCAAATGAGGCAAGGGGTCAGATTTCAGGGGGCTGAGTCTATCCTCATGATGTCCACTGTCAGCAGGTTGACTGACACCTGGGTAGGCCACACCCAGGGGCACAGTAAGAGAAGGGGACACACACAAGGCACTTCCATGGAAGATTCTATCCTAAACAGGGCAAGGGGTTATATCACAAAGGAACAGGTGAGCGTAGCTCCACCCATGGGGCTGTAGCAGGACACACCCATGCACAAGACACCGACCCTCAGACCCAAGAAGGGTGGGGAAAGCTCTGCCACATTTCTGTGACTGAGCGCCTCAGCACCCAGCCGGGGAGTGTGACCCAGTCACGTGCAAGGTTGGTCTCCCACATCCCGTGATGACTTCCTTCTCTTCTCAACGCAGCAATCACATCCTCCTGCACACTTTCTTCCCCTCTCCCCCAAAGACTCTCCTGTGCCTGTGTGTCTTAGAACAGAAGCCAGGTGCTCAGGCAACTTGTGAGACCCTGTCTCAAAATAAAAAAATTCAAAAGGGCTGGGTTCAATTCCTGGTGTTTTCGTAATTTTGTTGCATTGTGGACAGAGGATGTTGCCTTTGTATGTTATCAGGGTTCTTCAGCTCCCTTTAGAATCATTTCATGCCAGGCACAGTGGTGCAGGCCTGTTGTCCCAGTGGCTCAGGAGGCTGAGGCAGGAGGATTGCAAATTCAAGGCCAGCCTGGGCAACTTAGTGAGAACCTATCTCAAAAAATTTTGAAAAGGGCTGGGGATGTGGCTCAGTGGTAAAGTGCCCTGGGTTCAATTCCTGGTACCAAAAAAGGAAAGAAAAAAGAAAAGAAAATCCTTTTGTTAAGTATGAGTTGACTATCAGGTCCAATCTATTTTTTTTCTTTTTTGAGAGTGGGGTGGGATGGTGTCTTGAGGATTGAACTCGGGAGCACTTGACTACTGAGCCACATCCCCAGCCCTATTTTGATTTTATTTAGAGACAGGTTCTTAATGAGTTGCTTAGCACCTCGCTTTTGCTGAGGCTGCCTTTGAACTTGTGATCCTCCTGCCTCAGCCTCCTGTGCTGTTGGGATTACAGGTTTGTGCCACTGCACCAGGCCCAGGTCTAACCTATTTTAATGAATAGTTTTACTTGTTTTTATTCATACCTAATGAAATGATTCTAAATGAAGCTATTTGAAAGAAGATAATGAGGAATTTAAATTCTAACTTACTTATAATTAAATATAAGAAAACTGAAAACCTAACCAGAAACTGTAACTACTGTCTATTTTTTTCCTGAACTAGGAGGAAGCAGCAATAAAAGGGCTGTTTAGACTTGCAGAAGGCTACAGTTCTCGTTGCCACCCAGCTTTTCAGCTTAAAAAGCAGGTACGCAGATCCAGGGTGCGTGGGAATGAGCGTCTGTGTAAGGCTGCTCCTTCCGCCCAGCCTTCAGGGCCTGACAGCCTGTGGCCCTGATGCCAGTTTGTGGTCACAGCCTTTTGCTTGTTAGGAAAGTTCAGCCACGAGGCTCCCTTTTCCTGCGACTGGTGGTTGAGAATGATGGTTGTGTGTGTCTCGGGATGTTTTAGAATCAGATGCTGGGGAGTTGGGAAGTGTTGTGCACAGAGCCCAGCAGCCGGTGGCAGTGTGGCATCTGCCCAGGGAACCGCTTTTGTCAGTGGTGAGGAAAGCTGTTTTTCCTCTACTCTGACAGTTTTCATTGACTTGTAAATTCAGACAAAATTCTAAGCATTTCTGCCAGGAAGTCCCAGTTGGGGAATTGGCTAGGTGCTCTGTTCTCAGATGGCAGGACATGAGGGTGGTACAGGGGACTGGGTGTCAGTCCTGTGGCCCCCTCAGGGCAGCTGTGAAATCAGCACATGACCGGGCAGGGACCCTTCACAGAGCAGCCTGGAGGAGCGGGCCTGGAGGAGGCCAGGGCCAGTGAGAACAGCTTCTCCCCCAGAGGACGTGAGCGTCCCCAGCATCCCGTGCTCTTGAGGTGGGGCTCAGCCTGAGTGGTGCCTGACGGCGTTCTGCCCTGTTCCTCTGAGGCCACCCTGCTGCAGCTGTACCTGTCAGGCACTATGCTCTCAAGATGGCAGTGCAGAGCCAGGGGTGCCGGAGCCTGCTGCAGGGCCCGCCTTCAGAGAGCTGGTGGAGGGACGGTTTCCGCAGGGCAGGCTCCCTAGGGCAGGCTTAGCCCTGCGGCCTGGCACTGGCCACAGCCTCAGGTCTCTTCCTGTCCTCACGGTGCCTGCTCGTGCTCTCTGTTGTTCACTCGCTTTCCAGTCTGGCCCACGGTCCTGCGCCCTGTGCTCTGGTGATGCTGTGGCCCGGTGTCACCTACATTCTGTGTATCAGCAGCTTCCTGTCAGTTTGCTTAGTTTTGTGGAGAGAAATTAGAGAACTTTGCTGCCCTCGTGTGGCTTCAGGTGGGTGTCATTGGGCTGTGGTCCCCTTGGCTTTGCTGGACAGTGTCTCTCCCAGGAAGCCTGGAAGCTGACCAGAGGCCTCTAGGGGCCTGAGAATCGGTCCCCAAGTGATGGTGCTTCACCCAGAGCCAGGGCCACGTGGGCCCTCTCTCCGCTTTGTTCTCTTGGACACAGACCAGTTACCAAGCTGGTGCCAGCTCAGTGGAACGGACACAGGTCCCACATCTGAACTGAGGGTCTCAGCAGGATCTCTGGACATGTCCCCAGTCATCCAGATGTTCGCTACCCCCCATCCTCTGGCGTAGGTGTCTGTCCCTCAGCTGAATTGACCAGATTTCCCGGCCCGACCATCTCAGTTTCAAATGTAGAATCTGTAACAATTTTACGAATCGTACTTTCTAGAAAGTGATTTAACATCTGTGACAGTGGGAAGCATACTTTGTAGGATGTGGTTGTAAGAAAAGTGCGTTTCCTCCCAGGTGCTGAGCTGTGGGAAGAGCATCGGGTCTTGGCCTCTGCTGCCTCTCTCGGAAGACCTCAGTCAGGAAGCAGCCAGGTGCGTGCCGTCCTGGGTGCACCGTCCCTGTGGCTGCCAGCTGCAGTGGGCACCACCAAACTGGGGTCTCGGACCATGGGGTGTGGTTGCCTCTGTGGCTGCCACAGGCAGGCGAGCGCTGGAGGCCTTCCTGCCTGCGGTCTCTCCAGTGCACAGATCTGGAGGCGGGTGTGTGGTGAAGATGTGATGCCCACCCAAGACTGCTCAGTGGACACTTAGAAAGAGGAGCCTGGAGCTCAGGAGGAGGAGTGGAGGCAGTGTGCTCTCAGGACCACAGGCGCCCTCCTCTGTGGACGTCCTCCTCTGTGGCCGCCCTCCTCTGTGGGCACCCTCCTCTGTGGGCACCCTCCTCTGTGG